AAATTGGACAGCGCCTCAAGTTTAACTAGCCCGTGCTGGCACTGGCTCATGGGCACAATTTTCCCCAGCAGGACACTCTCGCTAACCTTACAGCCCCCCCCCCCCTTCCCTTTCTCAGCAACTCCCCGAGGGTAAGCTTTGAAGGCTCGGGACAGGGCCGACCCACGGGAAGGTGGAAAAAAAAGAATTGTCCCATGAGCAAAAAACAATTTCTGCGCGCCTGCAGGTGTGGGCCCTGCCCCAGTCCCAAGTCCCCGAACTTTTTGGAGAGGCTCACTCGTGATTCTCCAGATGTTCTGGTTGTTTAAGGTCTTAATCAAGAAGGTCCTAATAAATGAATAGTTGGTAGGAATGCATTTTGATGTGCAATTACTTTTTCTGTTTCTAACAATTCCGTTTCTAACAATTTTCCAGATGCGGGCGATATTGGGTGTGTGGGAGGAGGATGCCATCAAGGTGGTGAACTGGACCTTTGATGATAACGCAACCAGTAGCACCGTGTCTTATGAGGCATTCAAGCCGATGCCCAAGGGTAGTAGTGAGGACGGCTTCATCATGGTAAGGTGGTTCCTGGGAAGGGAGAAATGGAAAAAGAGGTTCATGAAGAGGTAATATTGATTCCTAGACAGGGATTAAGTGCACAAAAGGGTTCATGGAAGAGGTGATTTTGATTCCAAGTATGATAAGCTCCATAACAATGAACCTGCCCCCAAGAAAGAACCACTCGACCGCTTCTATTGCTTGGGTCTGTGCATTTTTCCATCGTTTTGGCACTGTTTTTTTTCCTCTAAGAAAACAACTGGAGGCTCAGTGCAGTGATGCTCCAGCAGGGAAGGGGGATTGGGTTAGAAAGAAGAGTGTGCTGGGTGGAAAAAGGGGAGGCTTATCATCCATGGTCAATGTCTGTAAGAGAACGACCGGAGGCTCGGTGCAGTGATGCTGCAGCAGGGGGTTTGGGGGGTTGGGGGGTTGGGGGGTTGGGGGTTTGGGATGTGTGATGGGTGGAAAAGGGGAGGCATACCATCATCCATGGTCAATGGCATCGATGATACCTGAGCTTTTTGTTTGTGCATGGTCTCTCTTTCTCTGTCGTTGTCTCAGTCTTTCCACTCCATAACAACATTTCCAAAGGTTTAGGGTTTAGGGTTCGTCAATGGCAATACGAAATCTCATGACTGACTGGTGACCTTGTTTTCTTAAAAGCCTTTCGATGATGTGGGGAGCAAAGCATCATGGGGGGGAATCTGTATCTCTTGTGTGGCAGTTAGTACACAGCATGAAGTTCATTCCTTTGGGGCATCTGTTAAACCGGGGTTGGAACGGTACAGAGGTGCTTAGCATCATGATGGCCCCTGCGCTTTCACGGATGCCATGCATGAATCGAGAAATGGTCAAAAAGAAAAAGAAGAAAGAAGAAAAACAGCACGAAGAAGATCCAGATGGACAAGCAAATGCATGGAAAGTAAAGTGTGGCAAAGCATTCCGTATGTAGGTATCTGATGAACATCCCTTTGTAACCCAAAAAAAAAAAAAAAAAAAAACTTCTATTCAACAAAGCTGGAAACCGGGTCCAGCATCCCTTACATGACGAGTACACACAGGACGCTTCTCCTGTTATGGTCGGGAGATCCCGAGTCAGCGCATTGATTACTTCCCAAAAAGGGAGGATTTACCACTTCTCCACCCCTGTTCTTCCTCCCATATACCCTTGCTACTTACCAAATTGAAAATTGGCTCATCAAAGTTTCAGGACGTTCATCAGCCAAAAGGCAAGGATAAACCGGCCTGATGAGCATCCTGAAACTTTGAAGAGCCGATTTTCGATTGGAAAAGTAGCACGAAAATTTTTATACATTCATGGCAGCGGTGTTCATTCACGATTACAGGACCTCTCTCTCTCTCTCTCTCTCTCTCTCTCTCTCTCTCTCTCTCTCTCTCTCTCTCTCTCTCTCT